TGTTGTGTTTCCTCACAGCTTCCTGTGTCCAATGATGAGAAGATGTCATCTCCGAGACCTTCTGTCTGTGTGGATCCTAGTGGTTTGGACATGATTTCCTGGGATCTGGCAGTTTGTCTCGCTTTTATAGATCTAATTTATATTGATTATATACATTCATTTTCATGGCTGACTTAGGTGTCTCTATTTCACCTTTTTAAGTGTTTAGCAGGTGTGTATGTATGTGTATCTTCATTATATGTGTTAACATGGTTATGATAATGAACTATCATAACCTGGGGGCTTTCTTTAGTAAGTAGTGGGGGTGTCCAGCCAAGTGTGCCTAGAAATATATATATATATATATATATATTGACATATTTTGTAGTGCCAATACTTGAGTTGCCCTACTCCAGAGATAAGTTGATCGTATATTGGCCACGGGGAATCCCTTAGACCAATACGAGCCAAACGACTCAACAAAATTATCTCTGAGTGCTGCTGGTTCTGAAGGAGAGATCCTTACATTGGGCACGCGACAGGAGTGATATGTGACAGGGGGGGGACATCAAAATATTTACGACAGCAGTCTCAGACAGTAGACAAGCAGGAGGAGACCCGTTGATATCAGTCTCAGACAGTAGACAAGCAGCGGGAGACCCGTTGACATCAGTATCAGACAGTAGACAAGCAGGAGGAGACCCGTTGACATCAGTCTCAGACAGTAGACAAGCAGCGGGAGACCCGTTGACATCAATCTCAGACAGTAGACAAGCAGCGGGAGACCCGTTGACATCAGTCTCAGACAGTAGACAAGCAGCGGGAGACCCGTTGACATCAGTCTCAGACAGTAGACAAGCAGCGGGAGACCCGTTGACATCAGTATCAGACAGTAGACAAGCAGGAGGAGACCCGTTGACATCAGTCTCAGACAGTAGACAAGCAGCGGGAGACCCGTTGACATCAATCTCAGACAGTAGACAAGCAGCGGGAGACCCGTTGACATCAGTCTCAGACAGTAGACAAGCAGCGGGAGACCCGTTGACATCAGTCTCAGACAGTAGACAAGCAGCGGGAGACCCGTTGACATCAGTCTCAGCCAGTAGACAAGCAGGAGGAGACCCGTTGACATCAGTCTCAGACAGTAGACAAGCAGCGGGAGACCCGTTGACATCAGTCTCAGCCAGTAGACAAGCAGCGGGAGACCCGTTGACATCAATCTCAGACAGTAGACAAGCAGCGGGAGACCCGTTGACATCAATCTCAGACAGTAGACAAGCAGCGGGAGACCCGTTGACATCAGTCTCAGACAGTAGACAAGCAGCGGGAGACCCGTTGACATCAATCTCAGACAGTAGACAAGCAGGAGGAGACCCGTTGACATCAGTCTCAGACAGTAGACAAGCAGGGGGAGACCCGTTGACATCAATCTCAGACAGTAGACAAGCAGCGGGAGACCCGTTGACATCAGTCTCAGACAGTAGACAGGCAGCGGGAGACCCGTTGACATCAATCTCAGACAGTAGACAAGCAGGAGGAGACCCGTTGACATCAGTCTCAGACAGTAGACAAGCAGGAGGAGACCCGTTGACATCAGTCTCAGACAGTAGACAAGCAGGAGGAGACCCGTTGACACCAGTCTCAGACAGTAGACAAGCAGGGGGAGACCCGTTGACACCAGTCTCAGACAGTAGACAAGCAGGAGGAGACCCGTTGACATCAGTCTCAGACAGTAGACAAGCAGGAGGAGACCCGCTGACACCAGTCTCAGACAGTAGACAAGCAGGAGGAGACCCGTTGACACCAGTCTCAGACAGCAGACGGAGACTCGTTGGGGATCCAATGCAACAAATCTTCTTTGTAAAGAAGGAACTTGACTGGTAGATAATATTCTTTCAATCTATAGCCCCCATCCAAAGAAGGTGTGTAATTTATATGAATGTATTTAACATTTAAAAAATTAGTTGCGTATCCTTTACAGGACGTTGCAAAACCACCCCAGTTTTTTCTGGCTGTTGTGGTTTTTCCAGGCAAATTTATGTCCAGTAGTTTGTCATTGTAAAGACAATAAAACAAAGAAAATTGAAATATTTTGGTCACTTGAAACGTCATGGAAGTCTAGAGAGAACAATAATGGAGGGGTATATGCCTGGGAAGAGAGGAAGAGGAAGGCCAAGGAGAAGATGGGTGCAGGATGTGGCAGATGATCTCCAGATGGGTGTATCAGACGCAGGACATCTTGCTCAGGATAGGAAGGTTTTCCGGAGGGTTGTTATGGCAGCGAGGTTCCGCGAGGGACATGCTACTGAATGAATGAGTTTGCCATTGCTTCACGGACGGTCGGCTCTCGGTACCATCGCAAGACAAACCATCCGCAGCAGGGATCGAACCCGGCATCCCGACATTACGAAGCGCGTTCGCAACGCCTAAGCTACAGACGCCCGACCAGAATGTGTTAAAGAAGTTTAATGTAGAATAGCTCAAGCAAAGGCGGCATTTTACAAAATGAAGAATTGTTAATGTAATCTTTCTTTGTCAAAGATAATTCTTAAAAGCTATATAAATCCTATCTTGATATATGGAAGTGAATCATGGACAGCTGGTAGATTCAGAAAACTTATCTGGAAACTGCTGATGTGGGTTTATAGATGGATGGCGAGAATACACTGGACATATAAAAAGAGTAATCAGGTTGTTTTGACAGAAATGAACTCACGAAGAGAACTGACTGCCCTTCTTCTTGTCTTCCACCATTGACTTCAGCGAGGTGTTGAGGGCAGATGTAAGGATCGTTTGTGTGCTTTTTTCAATGCACTGTACAAGTTGGTGTTCATTTCTGTTAGGTTGCTTCTGATGATGTCGCTCCGTTTCTTGCGTGGTCTTCCCCTTGAACTGTGTTCATTATATTTCTTCAGCGTGGATCTTTGTGGCAGTTGGTACGAAGACATTCTGTTGTTCTTTAATAAACAGTATGACTGGTTTCAGTCCTAGCCTTTTTCTAATTTCTTCATTCCTGATTTTATCTCTTCTCGTCACACAGGCAGCTTTCCTATCTTATCTAAGTTGTTAAGATCTTCTGCTCATTAGGTGTAGTAAGGGTCCACGTTTGACACGGGTAGCTTAATGTTGCCCCCCCCCCCCCCCCCAAAATGTTTTATAAGATTTGCTTTGGTTGACTGATTGCCCACATCAGAAAAATACAATCTACATTCTTCAGTCATTTGATGAAAAGGAGAAAACTGGAATACATCGTGGCAGCAGGAAAGTTGAAGGAGAGGAGATGCAGACCGAGAGAAAAGATGCCATGACATAACGGATCATGTTTCAGAGTTGATTGAAAGCACACGAGACAGAAGGTTGTGGACAGACATGACTACTAACGCCACGGACTTTAAGAAGTTTATCTGAAATTTCTTAATCGTTTTCCGTGTCTCGTGTATAACCAATAATTTCTGCAAACATATATTCCTCGATGCCATGGTTCCAAACAGCGCAACATCTCTCTCTCTCTCTCTCTCTCTCTCTCTCTCTCTCTCTCTCTCTCTCTTCCTCGTCTCTTCGAGGTTTCATCTTCTCGTAAAGTGTCCCCCAAAACATAGTCTCCTGATATAGGCTATCAATCAGTTCCCTGTGTGAGTTAATTTCTTTCGGAATATTTGTTTGACATTTATCTGTTCCCGGCGTTCTCACGTTTCTATTAAACCACATCTCCACATATCTAATGACAGATATCTAATATAACGACTGTTCCCGGTTCACATCCATACAAGAGGACTGGCACCGGTTCACATCCATACAAGAGGATTGGCACCGGTTCACATCCATACAAGAGGACTGGCACCGGTTCACATCCATACAAGAGGACTGGCAGACTTGGGTTTTCAAGAACAGTCTCACTATCCTGTCGCGGTTAAACAACTCATTACCCATTACCCTACCGCCATTAGATACTGCGCTAGCTTTGCACTATGGCAGTTCAATAAGGGCACCAACCATCCAACCGCACTAGCTACTACGCTACCACAATTAAGCCACTTCATTAGTCACCACGCTGCTGTGGTTAAACACCTTCAGTAGCTACTGCCACACCATGGTTAAATAAGTACACATAAGAATCGCTTTAGTTTTCAACTGTATTGTGTCCACACTAGCTCTATTCTCGCGTACACGCAAACAGTCAAGTACACGCGGACAATAGCTTGCATTCTCGTCAATGACGGGAACAGCTTTCTACATTAAAATTCCTCTATTCTAACGTGTTCTCAGATCCGATGTGCCATTCTTCGCCAGACGTTCACCCCTAGCTGCGAGTTCAAGGTAGCTGGCGGTCACTGAACCTGCTCGACTATATATAACTTGTTTCAACAGGAGTAATACCCACCCCACTACCCACTTTTCTAACCCAGCCAAAAGTCAATACTATGGAGACAATGGGAAACCGCGCCTCTCGGAGAAGCGGCTCACGTTAACCACAGCTGCCGATGGAGGCGCTGTTTGTCTGTGCCAACAGCTGCCCTGGTTGGTTACCCAGCTTGATGTCCTTGAATTATCGTTTACAATCCAACTTTGTGGATTTATGTGCCGACCTCAAGGTCGTATGTTCCAATACGTTCCGGGGTGGATTTTTTTTTAAATTTTAAATGGGATATAAGCTCCCCGGTAGACCTAGCCTAAAATGTACTGTGAAGCAAAGGCGGTCTGGCTGATGACTGAGTGCCGAGGTTCAGAATAATATTAGTAAACATCTTTTTTCCACGCCTAAAGGCGTATAGGGCAGATACGGCTAGACCTATATTTTTATAGACCAATCAGCACAAGATGGGCGATGTGGTCAGCATCACGCTTGCCGCCTTTACTTCCCGGGACTACACTAGGTACCCACTCAAGGTCGACCTGGGAGAAGAAAAATGACAGACAGGGAGGACAGGATAAAAGAGAGAAGCAGGCAAAAATAGAAAGAAGCAATCCGACAGAGATAGATTAACAAAGTGGATAAAAAGAAGGATACATATTCAGACAGCGAAAGGAGAGAGTGGGGGAGATACAAAATGGAAGAGAGATAGACGGCCAGACAAAGAGAGGGGGGAAACAGCTACAGAAAAACAGCTGGACCTCCCAAAAAGGTGGAACAAAGAGAATTAGCGGCGCACAGACTAGGCAGATATCTAGGAAATAGAGATGGGCAGACTGACAGACATTCAGAGAGACAGAGAGAGAGAGAGAGAGAGAGAGAGAGAGAGAGAGAGAGAGAGAGAGAGAGAGAGAACAGGAGGCAGACAAACAATGAAAGGTAGGACGGGAGACTACATATAGTAACCTGTACTCACCACGGGCATTTCCAGAGCGAGTCTCCCCATTGCCAGGTACGTGGGAGGAATACTGTAACTGGTTATCTTCTGAAATAACCCCATTACATAGTTATACCTAGTTTATCTTCTGAAATAACCATATTCCATAGTTATACCTAGTTTATCTTCTGAAATAATCACATTCCATAGTTATACCTAGTTTATCTTCTAAAATAACCATATTAAATAGTTATACCTAGTTTATATAACCATTTTCCATAGTTACACCTAGTTTATCCTCTGAAAAAACCGTATTCCATAGTTATACCTAGTTTTATCTTCTAAAATAACCATATTTTATAGTCAAAACTAGTTTATCCTCTGAAATAACCATATTACTAAGTCATAACTAGTTTATCTTCTGAAATAACCATATTACATAGTTATACCTAGTTTATCCTCTGAAATAACCACATTACATAGTTATACCCAGTTTACTCTCTAAAAAAAAAACAGATTACATAGTTATACCTAGTTAAGCCTCTGAAATAACTATGCCGTATAGTTATACATTGTTTATCCTCTGAAATAACCACATTAAATGGTTATATCTAGTTTATCCTCTGAAATAACCACATTACATGGTTATATCTAGTTTATCCTCAGAAATAACCATTTTATACGAATAGTTATACACAATCCCTTTTAAGTCTACTAGATTCTACAGGGGATTATGTTCATGCAATGGTTTACAACATCTGCGACCTTTTGCCAAACACATCCAACTTCAGCAAACTCATCAGCTTTCACAACAGGGTTCTATTACAGATGAGATCCCGGCCTTTAATTTGTGTACATCTGGTTTGATTATCTAAGACTGTAATACTCTGGTCTCAAGAAACATCAGAGTGGTTTACAAATAAGATCTCAGCCTCTGATTTGTGTGGATCTGGTTTGATTCACAGACTAATACTACAGTCATATAATATGACAAAGAGGTTGCGAAAGAACAGAAACAGAAGGCCTTGGAAGATGGATATGGGCGTAACAAAATGGAACATAATCTTCTTCTTCACGCTCACCGTTTGTAAACTCTGGCAAAAAAAGTTATACTTGTTCATCCACTTCTGAACTGAAATCTTTTTTCAGAACATGAGTTTGGCACACACATCCATTTTACAGATCTGGATTATTAATATGCAGACTGTTGGTTTCCCGTCTCTGAGGCAGATGCACTCTGACCTTGAAGAAAACACAGAATTAGTCATTTCTTAGCAAATGCTAGTTAGGGAGACAGTGGGTCTAAACCAAACACCCCCCCCTTCCCCAATGGGCCCCAGAACTTACCCGGGATCTAATGCATGATGACTCCTGTACAAGAGAATATATGATTCAGTGATTATAAATGCTACAACAGTAAAATAGGCGCCTTACCTCTGACAGCGTTATCAATACTGATAACGTGAGGCATTGTGGTCATGTAAGCTGTGTTGTCTTCATCTGAAACACAAAGGTAACATCAATGTATGGTGACAGACAAAGTGTATGGTAACAACATGAACAATGCCAGTAACCTCGGTGTTGCCAACGGTACAATAAACACAATACACCTATTACTGACTTCATTCTTTCATGTGTGTAGGAATATTTTTTTTTTAAGTACAGCAAATGCAACTTCAAAAACTATTGATAAAATCCTAATTTAAACAATTTAAATAAATAAATAAGAGAACAATAAAAGGGTTTGTAAAGTCTCACAGAAGACCATGTTCTGTATTCCACAATTTCAGTCAATGACATAACTACCATTACATAACATAATTTGATTTGTTGCCTGTGTATGTAATTTAGAATTTGTTCTGTGCAGATAATCACCCCATATGTTGTTCTACTGATCACACCTCGCCACAGCATACTTTGGAAATCTGTCTTTACAAGTGGCCCATTCCATTGTGAATTTAACTTCACTGAGTGTGAGAGTAATGGAATTTATAAACACAAATTGGCTTTTTGTCCCAACACTACGGACGACTGCCTGGTGATCTGTCTGGAAACCTGCAGAATCACATCAGGGATGCCAACAAGATCAATTCTAGATACCCCGCTAAACTCACAATCAGTTATAATAACGAATTTACCAAGCACTACCGTGGTGCATCATGCTGCCCTTTACGGGTGTTTTCACCTAAACTATTTATACAACTGTGTTTGATGAAACCCGAGATCATGTTGGCAAATATTGCCACGACTTTCTAAACGGTCTAGTGTGTGTGTGAGGATTTGAACTGGATGTGAACTTATGTAACATAACATTAGCTCTGACGTGTCTGATGTCCCACCCCCAGCTCAGTCTAAAGTAAACACACCACACTAGTATCGGGAGGAGAGACGGGGGGGGGGGGGGGGGGGGGGGGGGGTGGGGAGAAGAGAACACTGATACCGGTGTGTGCTGCAATCGATGCCCACCTTGACACAGTTTCCAGGAAGTTCTCACTGTGCCGCGGAATCACTTCCAGTTGACCTAGCAAACGTCTCTGACCCAATTACCAGTAAACAGCTGATGGGTGAACAATTGCTGCAGGGTTTTTAACACTCAGTACCAAGCAACTCAACATCCGTCACACTCAGTACCAAGCAACTCAACATCCGTTACACTCAGTACCAAGCAACTCAACATCCGCTACACTTAGTACCAAGCAACTGTACATCCGTTACACTCAGTACCAAGCAACTCAACATCCGCTACACTCAGTACCAAGCAACTCAACATCCGTTACACTCAGTACCAAGCAACTGTACATCCGTTACACTCAGTACCAAGCAACTGTACATCCGCTACACTCAGTACCAAGCAACTCAACATCCGCTACACTCAGTACCAAGCAACTCAACATCCGCTACACTCAGTACCAAGCAACTCAACATCCGCTACACTCAGTACCAAGCAACTCAACATCCGTTACACCCAGTACCAAGCAACTCAACATCCGTTACACTTAGTACCAAGCAACTCAACATCCGTTACACTTAGTACCAAGCAACTCAACATCCGTTACACCCAGTACCAAGCAACTCAACATCCGTTACACCCAGTACCTAGCAACTCAACATCCGTTACACCCAGTACCAAGCAACTCAACATCCGTTACACTTAGTACCAAGCAACTCAACATCCGTTACACCCAGCACCAAGCAACTCAACATCCGTTACACTCAGTACCAAGCAACTCAACATCCGTTACACTCAGTACCAAGCAACTCAACATCCGTTACACCCAGCACCAAGCAACTCAACATCCGTTACACTCAGTACTAAGCAACTGAACATCCGTTACACCCAGCACCAAGCAACTCAACATCCGTTACACTTAGTACCATGCAACTCAACATCCGTTACACTTAGTACCATGCAACTCAACATCCGTTACACTTAGCACCAAGCAACTCAATATCCGCTGAAACAAGTGGTTTCCTGTAGAGTGTTTTATTTAATGTGGACAGAAACAATATACTGCCCCATTTATGAAAGCACAATTCAAGTCACTAAAGTCTAGAAGTAGACGAACAATCAGGACTGACTCTCAGAGTTTACAGATGGTAAAACGAAGAATATTGCCTGGCATATTTCGATGCATCTCGTCAGCTGCTTCACCACAGAGTTATAGAAACATTTAAACGAAGCACACAAATTGATCGTTTCACTGTATTTCAGCGAACAGTCTTTTTTTTTTTTTTTTAGCTTCATTATACATCAGCACTGAGGTAAACCTAATGCACTTGATGAGATACAGTCAAATAGGGCAGGCAATAAGCTGTACAATATACTGTTTGTGTCCTTACTATTTAAACTCCTCATGCTTCTGCTTGTATTCTACACATGACATAAAAGGTAAAAGTCGAGAGGATCGACTTGATTGCACAGAGTTTTATCCCACATAGCAATCCGCTTGCCGAAAGCATCACACAAACCACGACCACCATAGCTCCAGCGACGATTACCGGAGATCTCTGTAAAAATTGCAATCTGAAACAGACTTGTCTCGGTAACGAAGGAAGCCGACCATATCTAATAAGCACTGCACAGTAAATCAACTTACTGGGTCTACCACATATACAAGCACATTTCAGCTACAGGCAGCATTTCTTTGGCAACATGCAGTGCTCATGCTCATGGGGAGGCGGAGAGAACAGACAGACAAATAGATACAGGCAGTCCGACAGACAGGCAGACTTTATTCTCAAAGAGTTAAGAACCGGAAGGGCAGGATCGTCCAACATTCTGCCTGCTGGCGGCCTCACAGCTGACATATTATTTCATTCAGAAACAGAAAGGATGGAAGCCAAAAAGTGTCAGATACAGAAAAATAATAACAGACATCAGTACACCCATCCAGTATGTACAAATGTACATAAGATAAACCACCTCACTAGTATGTGGCAGCTTGACTAGTTTCCCGTCAGACTCAGAAATAACCAGATACACAAGTCAGCAGACCCAAGGGTGGGGAGGTCGGAGAGATTGTTTCATATTGTTCACCTGAATGACGATTCCCATTGACGGATTTACAGCCAACAATACACCAAAGACTCCACCAGCCACCGGGCGGGTATTCACCCCAAGACCAGAGGTTCCCAATCTGGCGGCACTGGGTGGCACGCAGCACGGGCTCTCGTGAACAGTTAATAATTTAAAGAGTAATTAATATATAGTTGTGTGCTCTCACACTGCAATTGTCCTGTTGCCACGATGTCTTTACTGCAGCAGGACCGTGCAGTGCTATGATACAGATTCGGGCTCATCAGGCGGCATCGTAAAAAAAAGGGGGGGGGGGTATAATCAGCGAAATCCAAATAAACTTTGAACTTGTGATCTGACAGCGCGAATCTATTAGGGGCGGCATTCCCAGACTTGCATCACATTGAGAAAATCTAACGCACGGGACTGAACTGCAGTTTTCCATTATCACAATGCGCCAAAAGAATGTAAACTATCTATTTCTGATGCGAGTAGCCAGTTTTATTTCTGAATTAATTTCTTTCAAAACATTTCTTTTATAAAAATGCATCTGTCCACAATGTCCCCATAATTCCGCTATAAAACCAGTGCA